CCCCCCAGGGGGGAATGGTCACGCTGCAATCCCTTCTCCTCCATTCTCCTCTCGGGATCTTGGGCACGCGCGCACACGCGCCCAGTGTGAATTTTAAGCCACCGGGTCCGGGACGTGAACCGTGGTCGACTGTCCAGCGACATAGCCATTACGCTATCTGCTGGTTCCCATAAGCTTCTTGAAAATAGGACTGGGGCTTCTGTTTTGTTTTCTCTTTTGTGCCAAGCACTAAGAAGATAATTTCTTGCTGTATTTGTAATTTTAGCAGCTATTGTATATCTAGCAGATATAAGAAAATGACAGGCCCTTTAAACAATTCTAGTCATACTAGTCATGTACTTTTTTTTTTTTTTTACTGTTTTTGATACTTAGTTTCAGATTAACTCTCTTACATTTACATTCTAGGAATTAAATAATTATTGCTCTCAGTGTTAATATTTGAGAACCGAAAATTGAAATCTGATTCAGCAAGTCTTAACATAAACTACTTTTGTTCATTTTTTAACTCTAGGTTAACTCTTTAAGAAACTAAAGATCAAGCTATGTATGTAGAGGATGTGTGGGAGTGTGTGTGTGTTCATTTCTCAGTATTATAATATTGAACTGATAATGACCTCTGATTATTTTAATAAGCTTATTAATGCAGTATGCTTTAGTACCTATAAGGCAGCCTATAATATAGTTTATTGAAGGGCTAATTAAAATGTACTTTTAGGGACCAGCAGTTAGCGTAATGGCTGGGTTGCTGGACTCCCATGTAGTCGACTGCGGTTAAGTCCCGGACCTGGTGGCTTATACTCTCGCTGGGCACGTGTGCGCCCAAGATCCCAAGAGGAGAAGGGATTGCAACGTGGCCATCCCCCCTGGGGGGTGATTTCTTGCTTTCTGTCTCTCTGTCTCTCTCTGTCTGTCTGGCGAGCGCACGCACCCTATAGCAAAAACCTCTCCAAAAAAAAATTACTTTATAATTAGCGTTATATACAAACACAAATATATCAACTTATTAGGGTTTTTAAAAAATTGCTTTGATGTATTGTCCATCCTTTCAACAAATAAACTTAGTTTCAGTATTAATGGAATTTTCTTGATATTTTTTTTTTTTTCTCCTCTTTTAGGTGTTATTCAAGTATTGGGAAAGTTCAGGATGCCTTTATATCTTACAGGCAGTCTATCGACAAATCAGAAGCAAGTGCAGATACATGGTGTTCAATAGGGTAAGACTTTATATAGTAAAATGGTAATTTCATTGATGCACAGAGATGGCTGCATCATATATGATGTACTTTTGTAGTTTAAATCCTGATATGAAACTTAAGCAATGCTTATTTGACTTATTTTTTTTCTAACTTTTTCTTTCCAGTGTGCTTTATCAGCAGCTCAATCAGCCTATGGATGCTTTACAAGCCTATATTTGTGCTGTACAATTGGACCATGGCCATGCTGCAGCCTGGATGGACCTAGGCACTCTCTATGAATCCTGCAACCAGCCTCAGGATGCCATTAAATGCTACTTAAATGCAACTAGAAGCAAAAGTTGTAGTAATACCTCTGCACTTGCAGCACGAATTAAGTATTTACAGGTAAAATTTTTAAATAACATTTTCTTAAAGCCTTGTATTTCCCCAGGACACTCAGGCAGGAGGAGGGTGGCTGGAAAGTTTGTCTAGTGTTTTGATGTCTATAATTTGTTTCCATATTTTGTAAACATACCATAGCTTGTAATATTATTTTACTTTTTATTTTAAGTAAGATATGCAGTATTTTTAAAGATACTCTTTTGCACATTTACTCTGTTGATGCATATTAATTTACATAATTTTTTTCTATGTACTGTCTACATTTTTAAGTTGCCATAGCATTTTAGAGAAAAGAACACAAACACTGTCTTTCACTCTTGCTCAGAGTTTCATGAGAAGACAGCTATGAGAACTCTGAAAACAGAGCTCAGCTTTGTTTTTATTCTCTCAAAGGTTTATGTTCCTGTTGCCCTCTTTATATTTAGTATCTTTCTAAAGCCCCAAATTTATAATCTATTTTCTTTTAAAAACAATTAGCTATAGCATTTAGGAAGATTTAGTGGACTTGCTCTTACTCAAGTAGGCTTGTGTTAAATTTGCTTTTTACATAATTTTTCCTAGGCTCAGTTGTGTAACCTTCCACAAGGTAGTCTACAGAATAAAACTAAATTACTTCCTAGTATTGAGGAGGCATGGAGCCTACCAATCCCCGCAGAGCTTACCTCCAGGCAGGGTGCCATGAACACAGCACAGCAGGTGAGAAGTTGGGTTATGTTCTGCAGGTGCCCAGCTTTAAGGGTTCTTTTCGATCTATAGTGGTCAACTTACTTTACTAAGCCCAGAAGGCTTTTATCAATGAAAAGCCTTTTGATTTAATTACAAAGGGAATCTAGATCACAATAAAACTCCCTCTGATATGGGAAGAAATTTTGGGGTACCAACTTAGAACCTTTGTGCATTTTCATGATTTCAAAGGAGATTTCTTAAAATAATGCTACAGTGGTTTATTTAATTTTTAAAGCAAGTTTTTCAAAGGAAGGTACACATTCCTCCATTGATGATTCATTTGATTTTGATTTTTAATAATTGCAATCAGCGATGTCCACATAGATTTGGATAGTATGCAGCTTGTAAAGTTTTGTAATTTGAAGGAATGGATTAAGAACATATAGAACCCTATTTTTGTCTTCCTTCTGTGATTCTTAGGCATGTAAACCTCATCATCCAAATACTGAACCTGTATTAGGCCTCAGTCAAACACCAATTTCACAGCAATCCTTGCCACTACACATGATTCCTTCTAGCCAAGTAGATGACCTGTCCAGTCCTGCCAAGAGGAAAAGAACATCTAGTCCAACAAAGGTATATGTTTTAGAGAAATAGAAAATCCCAGTCAAAAAAGAACCTCCAACTGCCCTGAAAATGTGCAGTTTGAACATCTCTTGTCCTTTATTTTAAATCCGTGGACATCAAAGAGTGAGTTTGAGTTTTTCCATCCCAAACTCTTAGCATTTTATTAAATATAGAAAGTAGGGATAAATCTGCATTCATCAAGTCATTTTATTCATCTCCCTGCCGTTAAGCTCTCAGCACACTTTTTCATCATCACTTTTTACTGACATTGAAATAAATTAAATGGTGGATTTAGTGGACAGTATCGTATGTAGGCTAGCTGTTTGGGCCATAGTTTAGGGGTGGGCCTTTTTGGGGGGTTTTTTAAAGAATCAATATTTTCTTTATGCCTTCCAAATTTAAAATGCATGTAAAATTATTTTTAAAAGAATGTTGTATTATGGCATCTTTTTATATGTAAATATTCCATTTCATAGTCATTTGGCCTCTGTTAGTCATTATTGTTAACTCTGGATTTAACCAAATACTCTTTAATTTTTTTTTTTTTTAATCAATTTTCCTCAGAATACTTCTGATAATTGGAGTGGTGGCCATGCTGTGTCACATCCTCCAGTACAGCAACAAGCTCATTCATGGTGTTTGACACCACAGAAATTACAGGTATGTAAGATAATCTTTTTACCAACTTTTTTTCTGTTTAAAAGAAGCAGAGGGGCGTTGATGGTGCAACAGTAAAATATAAGTGTCATTTACTTACTTACATTTTACTGACCCACATGGGAAGGTTCTGGTTTCATATCCAGAGACCTCTCTGAGTACTCTGGGTATGTATATGCCCTTAATCCCAGGGCTGGTTGAAGCTGAGGGTGGATTACAGCATCAAGGCCCTGTTGGTGGTGCTGTGTGCATTTGTGTAAATCTCACTCTCTTTCTCTCTCTCAAGAACTAAGTGTAGGGACCAGCGGTTGGCATAATGACTATGTCGCTGGACTTCCATGTAGTTGAACATGGTTCGAGTCCCAGACCTGGTGGCTTAAACTCATGCTGGGCATGTGTGCATGCGTGCCCGAGATCCCAAGAGGAGAATGGAGGATAAGGAATTGCACCCTAAGGGGTGATTTCTCGCTTTCTGTCTCTCTGTTTCTCTCTGTCTGTCTGGCTAGTGCACATGTCCTATAGCAAAAACCTCTCCAAGAAAAAAAAAATGATCTAACTGCAATAATCTTAAAAAGCAAAGATAGTAAATAGTAAGCCTTTAAATATTTTAAGTATTCTTAAATTTAAATGGTAGTAAACTCAATTAATATGCATATAAGAAAAAGGAGTCTATATTTACCAGAATAATGAGAATAATTCATACTTTTTTTTAAAACTTATTTCTAGGTTTTTTGTTTGTTTTTGTTTTTTAATATGGTTCAGACTGCATAAAGTATGAATATGGGGTAAAAAGTCTCCTTACAACTCCTGCCCCTACCTATGTAGTTCCCCTCCTGACAGACAGCTGTCTGGTTTCTTTTCTATCTTTCCAGAGATATATTGTACATGTACAAAATACTAATGCCCTCCACCTCTCTCACATAATATTATTTTTCTCCTTTTTTACACAAATGATAGAATACTATGTATGCTGTTAACAATGTATTTTATTGATCTGTTTGTGTCAGTATATAAAGAATTTTGTTCTCTTATGGTTATATCATATTTATATGAATGTCAAACCTTTATTTTTTTTATTAAAGAGATTTTTGGTATAGGGTGCATGTCCTCGCCAGAGAGACAAAGAACAAGAACGTGAGAAATCATCCCCCAGGGGCATGGCCATGCTGCAACCCTTTTCCTCCATTCTCCTTCTTGGATTTTGGGCATGCTTGCACACACGCCTAGTGTGAGTTTTAAGCCACTAGGTCCAGGACTCAAACCACAGTTGACTATGTGGGAGTCCAGCAACAACTATTACACCATTTGGTGGCCCTGAGTGTCAAACCTTTATTTAGGTAGATTGCTAATTTTGAACATTCACATTGTCTTCAAACTTATCCTATCCAAACAGCACTGTTTTGAGCCATAGTTGGTATATTAAGCTTAAAGAACTTTCTGTGTGAGTGCTGAAAAATATTAATGAGTAAAATTTTAAGCCCATTTATCTCATAGATCACATTATAGTAAACCTTATTCAGATGAATACTTAGTTCTTACTTAACATTTCTTAAGATCTTTAAAGGACTTTGAGTTTGATGACTTTTAGTCAGAAATCTGTATTTTTCCCCGGACAGTATTTCTTAGTTTACCTAGTTATTTCAGGGATAGGCTGCTTAGAATAGTGAGTTTGTTTGCTTCTTAGGTATAGTCTTTGACCATATTCT